GCTCAGGGAGGACCAGATCCCTGGGAGGTGACAAACAACCAACAGATCCCACCCCCCACTGCTCTGAAACACACACACACATGCACACAGGTTGGTTATTATATCCTCGTGGGGACCATGGATTGACTTCCATTCATTTTCTGTTTATTTTATATCCTAACCCTGACAATTTACCCTAAAATTAACCTGACAGGTACCTACCTGACACTAAAACTAACTTAAACTCAATTCATACCTTGGTCCTAAACCCAACCCCTCACCCACCACTTCACTATCACTGTACTCAGTGAAGGTGGGGTGTTGTTGACCTCATCCGGTGATGCCGTCGGGTGGTGGAAGGAATACTTCTCAGACCTTCTCAATCCCACCGGCACATCTTCCATGGAGGAAGCAGAGTCTGATGACTTTGGGGCTGGTCTGTCCATAACTGGAGCTGAAGTCGCTGAGGGAGTTAAAAAGCTCCACGGCGACATGGCTCCAGGGGTGGATGAGATTTGCCCTGATTTCCTCAAGGCTCTGGATGTTGAGGGTCTGTCCTGTTTGGCACACCTTTGCAACATTGCATGGGCATTGGGGACAGTGCCACTGGATTGGCAGACTGGGGTGGTTCCCCTCTTTAAAAAGGGGGACTGGAGGGTGTGCTCCAGTTACAGGGGCATCACTCTCCTTAGCCTTCCCAGTAAGGTCTTTTCAGGGGTACTAGAGAAGAGAGTCTGATCGATAGTCGAACCCCAGATTCTGGAGGAACAATGCGGGTTCTGCAGGACCATGATGGCCCCAGCAGATAGCACCGTATCTAGAGCCCCAGCAGGACTTTGATGGGCCCAGCAGGATCGTGGCCACAGGGCGGCTGTGGTGCAATGGTAAGATGGTCATCTTGGGATCAGAAAGTCACAGGTCAAGCTCACATGTCGTGGTGTCCTTGAGCAAGATACCTGGTCCCTAAGCTCCCTGGGCGCTCACATAGCTGCCCGCTGCTCCACAGGGTGGTCTCTCARGTGTGATGGGTCAAATGRAGAGCACACATTTGGTCAMTACATGGGAACCTGTGTTGTTGACAGTACATAGCACACAGACTCATGTCTGAGCTTCACTTCCTCTTGTTTCTGCAGGTTTTCAGTCAAATGATCAAGAGAGACTCTGTGCCTTCACCAACAGCCTTCAGGGGGCGGAGCCTGTCTCCACCAATGAGCTGCGAGGAGAGGTGCTGGAGAACGTCACGATTCGCTGCAGCCGTGGCTCCAGCTGCTATGCATTGTGGGAAAAACGAGCAGATGGGGTGATGCGACTGCTGAAACAAGGTGAACGCTGAAGCAGATTTTTACTGTTTTTGTACAAAATGTTTCTCTGTGACATAAAACTGACATCATTATAATATTCTGATATATTCAACATGCTTACAAACATTTCTTCTTACTTCCTCAGCTGTTACTAATAATACCTGACACTGTTGGTTTCTCTCAGAGGTCAGAGGTCACACACCTTAACTCCAAACAGGAAGTGAAGTTTAACTTGTCATATCTCCTCCATCAAACAGAACCTGAGGCTTACTTTTAGTTTCTGCATGCCTCTCATTAACTTGGCAGTCAGGGAGTGACAGAGCCAGGTGTGTGGTTACCATGGTGACCACAGCGAAACACTAGCAGCAGCTTTAGCTTTTCTTGTGATGTTGGTTCTCTTTCCTCTAAAGTCCTCCTTTCTCTGAGCTGACATTAGCACAGAGTGAGTTTAGATATTTGGGCAGAAAGTTTCCTGTTGGTTTGATTGACAGATTATTTGAGTTGTTTACAGTTCAGCTGTTTGTTGGTTTGATTGACAGATTATTTGAGTTGTTTACAGTTCAGCTG